ACTTCCATTTCTCTTTATAAATAGAGAAATGGATAAAGCATTTCTCCTGGTATTTTAACCATTTCTTCCGGAAAAAACCCGTATCTGCTAGAAAATCCTATATAAAAGATAAAATAAAATAATCGATTTCTCTTTGAATAAATTCCATTTCTCTTTATAAATAGAAAAATGAATGAAGCATTTCTCCTGCTATTTTAACCATTTCTGGTAGAAAAAAATCCATATTTTTCCCTTGCACTTTTCGATTTCTGCTTGTGTATGGGATAGGGCTGAATGGTTTCTGCTTGAAAAAAAAAGCATTTCTCATAGAAAAAATCCATTTCTACTAGAAACATGCCAGAAGATGAAAGAAATATTATGCATTTCTTTATAACACTTCGATTTCTGCTGACTTTTGGGATAGGGATCAGGGAGGTCTTGTTGTAGGGTTAGGATTGCAGTGATGTGATCGAATGAAGATATGGGGTTACTATAAAAAGCGTTTCCTTCTGTTTTTATGTGGTTTAAGGCCCCCCCTCCTCCTCAGAAATGATTTCCCACCTGGAACCCACTGTTTGGCTGAAATTTTCAGGAATGATTGGTCTTGGTGAGAAACGCTTATGGTAAAAATTTCTGCCCGATATGCCGGACTAGATCGAACCTTCAGCTTGTTTTCCGACCTCCCAGGAGAATCGAAATAACTCCGTTGTTAGAAGGAGTACAGAGCTCGGACTGGTTTCAAATTGGAGCTAGTCTCTGTGCGCAACTTTTCATCGAACGGAATTTTGAAACTCCCTTCCATTCATTTTTACGAGCAATTTTGCGGGCATGTCTGCAAAATAAGCATAAAAAAATGTGACTGTATGACAGTAAATCCCTCTTTTCTCAGCCCTGGAATTAAATATCAAAAATCCGTTCGATGAAAAAGTTAGCTCTGGTTAAGATCTTTAAAACAAAAAAAAACATTGGCTATATACCGAGCCCAGCGGAAGTTATTTCGATTTTCCTGTCTAGAAACTGTGTTTTGAGAAAAATGCTAAAGAAATTTTAGAAATGGAATTTTTCATTAAAATCCAGAACAAGTCATGTTACAGTGGTATATTTCACTTGACCGTCTTAAAAGACGTCATAGATGGCGGCAGCTAGCACCATCTGACATGACGATTGATATGAAAATGTTCTATTCAACGATAGTACTTGTGGAAACGCAATTTTTCTGAAACCGGCAACCTTAAAAAACCATGAAATTTTCTACGAAAACATGATAGTAGATTTTAGGTCTCATTTAATAAGTCTTTGAAAATCGGATTGTTTTCCAAAAAAGTATATATATTCTGAAAGAGGAAGCTTCGCTGCATCTTCCTGTAATAAAAACTCAACTTCGATATTTTCCTGACAAACTCGATTTTCTGAGGGGGGGGGGGGGTCCTCCTTAAGCATTTCTGCTTGAAGTGGAACAGTTTCTCCTTGAGAGGGGGAAATGGTCCAGCCCTCGAATTAAATACGTATATAGTCAATGGAAAAATAGATAATCGATGAAAACAAAATAACTGACATTTAGATTTATATTATACAACAATAACAACACGAAACATATGACATGTTCACTTTAGTTCAGTTTTGTTAAAAACTAAAAATTTAATTCTAGTTCAATTTCTTTTATCTCCTTTTTACTTTGTATTTCAAATATTACGATCATTATAAATAATACGCAACGTGCTAAAATATTCCTATTCTTGTTAGTAATAAGTAATACTTCATAAGATTTATAACTTATTGCTCGAAATTAACGTAGTAGTACTAATAATAATTTTCACAATTATTGGAAAAAGCTAATATGACAATAAAATTTCTAAATCAAATAGAACACGAAGTTAATTCATCGTTCGTTGATAGCCAAAACAAAATCCCAATATTATTGTGGTATCTTTTAAAATAATCAAAACAACAAGATAATTATTTAATCACTACTATAAAAAGTGTGATAATGATAAGGAATAAAAAGTAATAGAAGTGCAGCATCTCTAATAGTGAATCAACTAGATCATTAGAAAAGAGATTAGATATTTTATGCGTAAGAAAAATCATATTAAAAAGTCACACCTAATAAAACATCGAAAGCTTCTTTTATTAACTAGGAGAGAGGAGAATTAGTTCAGAATGAGAATCAATAGAACACTAACGGTACTGTAAGTCTTTTGTAGACTATATTTCTCTTTTAACATAATTTAAAAAGCGAGTTATATCCTACTATTGATAAATTTAGATGAATACTAAAACAAAAAATAAACAAATCTTTGTCGTTCCTCAAATAACTACGCTTTAAATTTTTATCTTAAAATTTTCCCATTTATAACTTTGAGATTTTGTAACTTCGCACAAAAAAACAAACTTTTTTTTTCAAGTTTCAGAAAACAAAACTAGAACTATGAGTTGACTCTCGATTATTTACTCGGTAATTGATCATTATTTCTTATCATTCACTTATGTATATATATATATATATGGGGATGATCAGTCTGGCCGGAAGACCTTTAGC